GGACTGAATAACTGTCTTTACATGTTGATCAAATTTTAGGTGTCACCTTTGATTTTAGACTAAGTTTTTGGCATAAGCTTTACTATTAGTGGCCAATGAGCTAAGGTGTTGGCAAAGGTTGGTAGAGACTTGATCTGGGGCAAAGACCAGAACTTCCGTTTTACTTTGATTTACAACCCCAATTCCGAAATAGTTGGGACAAAGTGTAAATTGTGAATAAAATCAAAACGCAATGACTTTCAAATCACACCAGTCAGTATTTTATTCACAGTAGAACAGAGATAACATAGGAAATGTTGAAACCGAGAAATTTTACAGTTTTAACCACAAAATGAGCTCTTTTCAAATTTGATGGTTGCTACAGGTCTCAAAAAAGTTGGGACAGGGGCCTGTTTACCATGGTGTAGCATCCCCTCTTCTTTTTAACACAGAGTGGAGGCGTCTGGGGATTGAGGAGACAAGTTTCTTGAGTTCAGCCATTGGAATTTGATCCCACTCTTGTTTAATACAGGCTTCCAGCTGCTGGACAGTTTTGGGTCTCCTTTGACGGACTTTTCGTTTAATTATGCGCCACATGTTCTCAATCGATGAAAGATCAGGCCTGCAGGCAGGCCAGTTCAGCACACAGACTCATCTACTACGAAGCCATGCTGTTGTAATAGCTGCAGTATGTGGTTTTGCATTGTCCTGCTGAAATACACAAGGTCTTCCCTGGAATAGATGTCGTCTGGAGGGGAGCATATGTTGCTCTAAAACCTTTATGAACCTTTCAGCATTCATGGTGCTTTTTAAAACATGCAAGTGTCCCACACCATATGCACTAATGCATCCCCATACCATCAGAGATGCTGGCTTTTGAACTGAACGCTGATAACAGGAAGGGTGGTCTTTCTCCTCTTTAGCCCGGGGAGGACACGACGCCCATGATTTCCATTAAGAATGTCAAATGTGGACTCGTCTGACCACAGGACACTTTGCCACTTTGCTACAGTCCATTTTAAATGAGCCTTGGCCCACAGAACACGGCGGTGCTTCTAGATCATGATCAACAATGGCTTCTTTTTTGCATGATAGATTTTAGGTGGCATCTGTGGATGGCACGGCAGACTGTGTTTACAGACAAGGGTTTCTTGAAGTATTCCTGGGCCTATTTAGTAATGTCTATGACAGAATCATGCCGGTGAGTGATGCAGTGGCGTCTGAGGGCCCGAAGATCATGGGCATCCAGTAAAGGTCTTCGGTCTTGTCCCTTACGCACAGAGATTTTTCCAGTTTCTCTGAATCTTTTGATGATGTTATGCACTGTCGATGATGAGACCTTCAAAGCCTTTGCAATTTGACGTTGAGGAACATTGTTTTTAAAGTATTCCACAATTTTGTTTCACACAAGCCTTCACAGGTTGGAGAGCCTCTGGCCATCTTTACTTCTGAGAGACTCAGCCTCTCTAAGACATCCCTTTTATAGCCAATCATGTTAAACACCTGATGCCAGTTAACTTAATTACTTGCTAAATGTTCTTTCAGGTGATCATCTTATATATTAATTGCTTTTTCAGCCCTTTTTTGCCTGTGTCCCAACTTTTTTGAGCCCTGTTGCAGCCAGAAAATTTGAAATGAGCTCATTTTGAGGGTAAAAATATAATATGTCTCAGTTTCAACATTTGAAATGTTAGTTATGTTCTATTCTTAATAACATATTGGCTCATGTGATCTGAAAGTCATTGCATTTTCATTTTATTCACAATTTACACTTCGTCCCAACTATTTCAGAATTCGGGTTGTAATTGAAGAACATTTTGAGACACCCATTCAAAAATTGCAGCCAGACACTTGTGCAGGGTAGTTATGTTCGAGAGGTCACCACGTTTAAAAGAAAAGTACAGTTGCGTATCATCAGCATAGCAATGATAAGACACAGTACCAAACTGATGAATCATGTTCCCCAAGGGGAGCATATATATTGCAAATAAAATGGGACTGAGAATTGATCCCTGAGGAACTCCACAAGTTAACGGCGCACAAGTGGATGCTTTATCGCCCACAGATACAAAGAATTTACGATTGGAGAGATAAGAGCAGAAGCAGTTAAGTGCTATGCCAGATAACCCAACCCACTTTTCTAGCCGGTCCATAAGAATGCTGTGATCAATGGTATCAAATGCAGCAGACAAGTCTAAAAGAACTAAAATGGCACATCACCATGGTCAAGTTGCATAAGAATATCATTAGTGACCCTTAGTAGAGCTGTCTCAGTGCTGTGCTTTTGCCGAAAGTCTGATGGATACTTATCAAGTATACGACACAAACTCCCGCACACCGTCTTACTTGCAAAAAATATTTTAATTCTTAGAAAGCAACGTTTCGGTCGAAGACCTTCATCAGGCAAACATTTCATTCAAAAGGGCGGGGCATTATAAAGGTTGTAGCTGCCAGTCTACAACCAATTTACAAACTAATTGCCAATATGAATCAATCAGCAAGTATACGTAAGAAAATGAGCTTCAAATACCTGACTCAGAATACAAGGTACATAGAAAATAGTCTATAACACGATACAAGTGTAACAAATTACATTTCTAAAATTCAATCAGAAATAAGATATACAATCACAGTTCTAATCACTTCAATTAGTAATTGCCCCACCCCTAGTGAAGAAAATTCCCAGAGGACCCCCCTCCCCCCAAAAAAAGAAATCAAAAAATGCACAGCTATACTAGACAAAAATTCTTATACAAGATTCCCTTAGTACAAAAATAAAGATAACATTTAATGAATGCATACAGACAAACCTACAAAGCGGTGGCCACTTTAATATAGAAAACAAACTCACAGAAAAATATTAACCCTCTATTAACCAAACCCATTTCCAATTGTGTAAAAATCATTTCCCTAGGCAAATATGTTGATTATGGGCCAATATTTGGAAAAATAGTCAAAAAAAAAATTAAAATTTTTTAAAAAATTTAAATTTAAATTTTTTTTTTTTAATTTTAAAATTTTAACTTGACAGACCATTCAAGTTATTCTCAAATGTTTATTTGGCAATAAGAAACAAAACCAGCAGGGTGTCCAGGCTGTTAACCCTTTCACTTTATGTAGCAGATATGCTACGGTGGTTAATAGAGGGTTAAAGACCAATTCATCATTAAGCCCTTTGGGAGCCAGAGTTTGGAGGAAGGGTATAAATCCAAAATCATTGGGCTTCATTCGTTGTTTTATGCTCACTAATCCTCTGTTTGAGCAATTTATCCAAATCACTGTTAATGGAAAATCTTTTACCTGTATTGATTATCGCTGAGCACAACTGCCACAGGGATAATTCCCATTTGGAAGAGGATGCAAGCGTGTTTGTGTCTCTTGATTGGAATTCTGATGGCGAAATGTGGCCCGAACCAAATGGTCTTTAATATTTTTCCCTCTTCTGTTAACAAACAGAGGAAGATCTGAAAAAATGGTCCAAAGTTCGCTGTCCGACTTTAAGATATGTCAAAATTTTTTAAAAACAGATCGTATAGTATTAGAATGGATTGAATGTTGAGTGATACATGTCACAGAAAATTTCTTTTTCTTTTGAACACTTTGAGTAAATCCGATCGCGTTTTTTTTTTTGAGGGCCTTTTTGTATGCATGATCACTCCAGGATGATGGATACCCCCGCTGTGCAAATCTATTTTTCATATCCTCAGCCTTTTCCTTAAAATCCTCTGTAGAATGACCCCCTCCAAAAAACGAAAAAAACTGACTTGAATACACCATGTTACCGGTCTCGCAATTGAACAACACTTGCACATTATTTAGCCAACTATATGAGGCAACTTTTGTGAAAATATCATAGGTGTGTTTTCATAGGAACCTGGTTGTTTTTCAAGATGAACTTCACGTTTTGCATCAAGATAGATGCATTTTTCAATGGAAAATTGTCTGAAACTTCTTCAGTTTTTCATATATATACTTATGTTTGGTATCAAAATGTCCGTCATGATGTTGTGTAGCCAGTAAAAATCATCTGGTTTTTCAGAACAGTCATTTATGGGTTTAAATTTGGACTTTTAGAGGCCTTGCCCCACAAAAATCTTTCATGATGTTGTGTAGCCAGTAAAAATTATCTGGTTTTTCAGAACAATCATTTATGGGTTTAAATATGGACTTTTCGAGGCCTTGCCCCACAAAAATCTTGAAATCACTAAATAGTTCACAGTTCACTACCTGTATGCAAATTTCACATTTCAAATCTATTTTCTGGACAGTCCCAAAAGTAGGTACATATAACCAGAAGATGGTTCAAATTGGGCTGTGGGCAAATTTGCCTATACCCTGCAAAACCTCCTTTGGGGGACAGAGCTCCACCAATTGACTACATTCTCCTTCCTTCAGCTAAGTTTTAGTTAAGAAAAAGAAGTCTAGTTTCTGGAACAAGATGAAGTCATTTAATGTAAATGTCTTGTTTGATAGGGACCTCACGTTTAACAGGCCAAAGTTGATGGAGGAGACCTTAACATCAGGAGTGTTCAGCAGTGGGGTCATAACTAGGGGCCTGACCGGAATTAAACCGGGTTTGCGTGCTGCATTGGGACGTTTTCGTGGTCTGTTATTGATTATGACTGGGATTGTCACAGTCTGCTCTGTTGCTGCTGCTTCTCCCTCTGCCTGGCCACACCCCTTCCACTGCAATTGCTCTCAGTTGAGTCTCGTTACCCAGCTAGCATATAAGCAGCTCTGTTTCACTAACTCTTTGCCAGATTGTCGTTGCAGCATGCACTACTCTCCAGCCTTTGTCTTCGGTCTGACTTCTTGGAATCGACTCTGCCTACCTCTGACTACGTCCTCTTGTTCCTGCCACGGTAAACCTGAAAGCCTTCTGCCTCTGACTCCGAGTTCTGCCTGTGTGTTTCCTGGTTCCTGTCTGCCGTCTCCTGTGCCCCTGTCCAAGCCATCCGGCTTACCGCTCCCCTGCCTGCCTGAGTGGATTCTGTCCAGTTGGCCCAGCCTCAAGCCAGCCTGCCCCGGTGGCCGAGTGGTAACTCTCCCGCCTGCTGTGCGGGCGACCCAGATTTGAATCCTGCCATCGGCGCCTGCTCCCTTGAGTTCCCAGAGGAGCTCCACTCAAGCTCCACGAATTCCTGATCTTGACCTGCACCAAGCTACCCTGTTCTGCATTCGGTTAACCCCTGCTCGAATCTCATTAAAAACCAGTAAATCTTCACTCCTGTTGATTGTGTTGCATTTGGGTCCTGCAACTCCCCGTGACAGGGATGCTATAGAGGCTCTGTGGTTCGCTATTAGACTTATTTAACCAGTAGGGGGAGCTAGCAGTGGAATTAGGTGACCTGCGGATCTCTGGTGACAAAGAAGAAGAGCAATTAGTGACTGGTGTGCTGTCTGAAAGTGCTGTGCAGTGATTAGCGGTCAGTCAGAGGCAAGGGGCTGTAATGACTGCGTGGAAAATGTTATCTTAAAGTGCGTGAGTGCCATGGAAGTTACAGTGGATGCCATCACTGCTAAAAAATGAAGCTCGCAGCCAAAACAGATTAAAATTGTCGATGAAATGCAGATTATGTCGTGGGCAAACTGATTGCAGCCACGAGTGGAAAGAGAGCAGTCGGCTGAAACGCCCAATGCCTCGACCAAACGTGGGGATCGGACCTGAGATAAAGACTGACTTTCCACAGCTTTTTTCATTAAAGAGACGGTTAAAGTCCTGTTTAAAAACCTCAGACTGCTGCTTAGTGGTGTCGTCAGTACCAACATGAACAATAACATTGTGAACATATGGGTACTTTCTGAGAATACAAGGGATCTGCTGCATAACATCCACAATTTTTGCTCCGGATAAGCAGTGGGTCACTGCCGATTTGAATTTAATATGTCAAACGATAGAATCGCCAACAATCAGCGATGTAGGGGTAGGCACTTGAGGCTTGTGGCGAGAGGACGCAACAGTCCGAGGAGCAAAAACTCTGGCACCTGATTCTGCGGGAGAGACGGCCAGGCTCGGCCGGTGGCCTGGGGGACTGACCAAGCGACTGGACAGTGCCACCGGCGCACGGAGCACTGGTGAATGTCGAGGCGGAGGTATAGTGGACTGGAGGTCTCCCAGCAGCAGAGAAGAGTCCTGGTCCTCAAGAATATTGTAGCAGTTGGTGAGCTGAAGTTCACAGGGAGGAGAAGGCTGCGGGGGTGACTTCTTTCCCCTGCCATTTCTACAAACTATGGACCACGGATCCTGGTTGAGGGTAGAACTGTGGATTTTAGGGTTTGGAGTGAATGTGGCCTTAGCCAGTTTTTTTGGCTTTGCTCCCTGCTGTAGCCAAAGATCCTCAGCGTGGGGCTGGGCTGCAGGGATTGTGGAATCCAGTCCGTCTTCAGCTGAAGCGGTGGCAGCTGCGCCCACTGAAACTAGAGAGTCAATGAGCCGTTCGTCCTCTCTGATTTGGTAGAGAGTGGAAATGCGCCCTTCCAGCTCGGCGATGGTTTGTGTCAGGTGAAGGCAGCGGTCACACCCGGATGGAGAGGTAAGTGGCGGCATGTTGAAGATTGAATACGCTGAGGAGAAAAACAGCTCCGGCAGCAAATGTGTTGTTTTTGAAGAAACTGGTTATGTGTGCGTTAACTTTAGCAGTTATTAAAAGCGGCACAGAGAGAGACTTACTCGCAGGGACTCCACTCCGGAGTCCGCCGCTTTGTCTGGGATTGTGGAGTGGTATCCGAGTTGGTAGTGATACGTACCGATATGGGCCCAAAAACTGGGCCCGGTAAGTTGACAGACTCTCGTAAGTTCAGTAGCCATCTCGGTGGCTGGAATCACAGGAGACTGGTGTCCTTATCGGTTCGTTTCGTAAAGGTATTTAATGTATGGGTTGATTTGTGATTCTCTCTCCTCACAGCGCATCCTCTTCGAGGCTGACCCATAGTGTGGCGTGGTGACCGACATGAAATAAAACTCAACCCCCCTCAGATGTCATACATTTTTTTTTATCCCCCGCCACACGAAGTGGCCGGGGGATATTGATTTGACCTCCGTCCGTCCGTGCGTCCGTGTCCGTGCGTCGTCCGTCCGGGATAAAGGGGAACAACTTTTCACAAGAAATATTCGCGATAGGATCACCAAATTTCGTGTGTAGCTTAAGACCATAAAGACCTTGATCAAGTTCGAAAATGAGACACGCGTGATTATTTTTCCCGGAGTTATTGCCCTTGATTCACTTTTTTTCACTCTGTTCACGGTATATGTAAAGGGGAACAACTTTTCACGGGAAATATTCCAGATAGGATAACCAAATTTGGTGTGTAGCTAAAGACCATAAACATCTTGATCGAGTTCGAAAATGAGACACGCGTGATTATTTCTCCCGGAGTTATTGCCCTTGATTCACTTTTTTCAACTCTGTTCACGGTATATGTAAAGGGGAACTACTTTTCACGGGAAATATTCCAGATAGGATAACCAAATTTGGTGTGTAGCTTAAGACCATAAAGACCCTGATGGAGTTCGAAAATAAGAAGCACACTATTATTTTTCCCTCAGTTATTGCCCTTGTGGCACTTCTGGGAGCCTCTGTTCATAGTATCTTTAAAGAAGACATTTTGGCGGGGGATGTTGTTGACCATGTCTACTTGTTAACCTTGTAAAGCATTGGCTCTAGTTGTAATGAAAAAAAAAACAAGCCAAGACAAGTCAAGAGAAATAGTCCTGTTGTTGCAATGGTCTATATGAGGGATCCTCAAATCTGGACCTCGAATCCAAATCCAGCCCAGGTTTTCTGTTATCCCAGGCAAGTAAATGATCAGTTAGTGCCTTTGATTGGCCAGCCTGTGTTAACACCTGACTCCCAGGTGAAGGGAGGGTGGAAAACCAGCAGTTCTCGGACCTCGTAGGGTGTGATTTGAGGACTAGGGGTCTATGTCATATAGATATCTTTATCATATAGAGTTGAGGATAACCCTTTTTGTCTATTTATCAAAGTGACATTATTGTTAACTCCTTGATAAGCTGTTTGTGAATCTTACCGCCTGTGGTTCTGCTAACATCAAATTGATTGATTGATAAGTGAGTGACGCTCGAGTCTCATCATAACACTCCTTCCTAAGCTTCACCTATCCAGGTGTAAAAGTGTCATGATGGTACATTTTAAACCTATTGACTATGCAATGTAATGTTCTTCAACACAGAATATGCCTGATATTGTAATGAAATTCCTTATGAAAATTGCAAATCAGAGAGTGGCAGAAATCAATTCTGTTTCAGCAGTAGTTGGAAAAACTGGGGAGAACATGGAAACTCATGTTCAGTCCAGGCTGGACTCGAATCCAAGACCGCTTTAATGGGAGGCAACAGCATTAACCATACCTAATTGCAAAAATTGTTTATCAACACTGTTGGAAGGGTTTTGTTTAAGGGCAGCACAGAGGTTGAACGGTTGGTTTGAAGGTTGTGGTTCGAATCCAGCCTGGGGCTTTGTGACGAGTTTGCACAATCACCCAGTGTTCACATTGGTTTCACACTGCAAAGACATGCGTGCCATTCTAATCGGAGACGCCAAAATCCCCATTGGTGCGAGTGTGTGAGTGAATAGTGTGTGATCCCTGGGAAAAAATATTCAACAGGAAATCTTCCAGCTGCACGCATTGGTCATTTATTCCTCGGAAATTTTTGTCGTATTTACTTTTAAACCTGCACTTATCCTGTAAAAAATATCTTGATATTGATTGACTAAGTATTCAGTCTCAATAAACCCACAACCATAAATTAATCTACACATTATGGAAAGACTTGGCTGGAAGTTGAAAATTTTTGACAGATGTAAATGGGCTACTTTACAGCGAAATACATTATGCGTACGTAAATGGTAAGTGTGAGTGAGCAGTCTTAGACCTCCTCTGAAAGAACCCCTTCCTGGTTATGTCTCTGCTCTGCAGAACGCCGACTACACAGAATGGATCAGCTGGTGGAGCACCCAAATGAAGTGCAGTACTTCTGGCCCAACATTCCGGTTTCTCCAGTGGAGGATGACCACAGGCCTTTCCTCAGCAAGGGTATCCAAAAATCTACCCCGAAATTCTTCACTTACACTTCCCCCTGTGCCTAGTACCACCTTTGTGCCCACTTAAGTCGCCATATCCCTGAATCCTCCCCATTTTGTCTTAGCCTTGGATGATTGCTGAAATTTCTTTCAGACAAGTGCTTGCCGGGGTTGACCTGTCTTTATCAGCTTATTGTGATGTTATGATGTTTTCTGTACAGCATACTTATTTGTTATGTTCTGTCCCTATGTGTCTGGGAGGATGAAGGCCATACGCTGGTCGATCATGATCAGAAGATCACACAATGGGCCTCATTTGTCAGTCACTTTGTAAATATACGAGTAAGTTTCCTCATAGAATTTCACAAACTAACGACTGCCGCCACATTTATCAACTGTTCCTTGGCACTTTCAATCGTATGTCAGATTAGTCTGATAGGATGATAGGTCATCCTGACCTGGCAGCACAAAGTGGATGATCACCAGTGACTCATCTCTCTCCACAAGAAAACTGTCCTGGTTCCTAGAAATGTGCTCTCACTAAATCTTCTCATGGGACAAAGTCAGCCATTGTAAGGTTCGATTCTCTTGGGATTGAACCTTTAAATAATCTTTCTGTACATGAGACTCATTAAGACACATAACACCCGGTAACCTTTTATTCTACACACCCCAATTCCAATGAAGTTGGGACGTTGTGTAAAACTTGAATAAAAACAGAATACAATGATTTGAAAATCCTTTCGACTTGTATTCCATTCAGTACACTACAAAAACAAGATATTTAATGTTCAAACTGATAAACTTCTTTTTTTTTTTGTTTCTGCAACACGTTCCAAAATGCGTTTGGGAACTGAGGGCACTAACTGTAGAAACTTTGTAGGTGGAATTCTTTCCCATTCTTGCTTGATGTACGACTTCAGTTGCTCAACAGTCTCCGTTGTCTTATTTTGTGCTTCATAATGCGCCACACATTTTCAATGGGAGACAGGTCTGTACTGCAAGCAGGCCAGCCTATTACCTGCACTCTTTTACTATGAAGCCACGCTGT